AGAATTCAGTTCAGCAGTGAAAAGTAATTAGACAGTCAAGGCCAATGCAACAGCATGAACAAGTCTGAAGTAGAAGTCAATCGACATCTTAGGGGAACAGGCCTAGGGGAAGGAATTAGTGGAGTGCTTGATGGATAGCAAAATTCAGCATCTGAGATCTGGAATCCAGATGCTGGGAAATAACTTGGTGAAAAGAAAAAGGCGGGGCTGGGGATGTAGCTTAGCAGCAAAGTGCTTGCCTGGCAAGTGCGAGGCCCTGAGTTTGATTGCTGGTCCAAAAACATAAAATAAAATAAATTTAAAAACTGAAGTAGATCACTGGGAATTGGGAAGGAACTGACAGAAAAAAATTAGAAGCTTCAGAGAAGTAGGAAAGATGCTCCATTACTGCAGAGAAAAGAATGAAACTATTTGGACTTTCTCCCTGGCTCCAGCTCATGGCTTATGAGGAGGAGAACCTCACTCCCCAAAAGCTAAGTAAATGCTCAGGGCTAGGAGGTCAAGGGAGAAAGGACAACGGAGCACATGGCCATTTTGAACTGCAAGAACAACATAGGGTTTTGCTCTGAGCACATTCTTCTGGATAGCAGACAGCAGCCAAAAAGGATTCCAACCCAGGTACCACCCATCTTGCCAGACAGTGCTTAATCAGGTTCCATTTCAGGAAGGAGTTCATTATTTAAATCTGGGACTCAGAACAACAACAAAACTTCACTTCAGAGTTCCCAGTGTTACTTTCTCACAGTGACTGGGTAAGAGGTGGCCATGGGAGACAACTGCAGACGGGGAGCAGGCTAGAAAAAGATGCCATGAGAAGTTTAAGCTTGGGCCAGGTCCCATCCCCTGTGGTGAGAAGCCAGGCCTGGCTTGAGTTGTGCACAGAAGTGGCTGGGTCTGAAAATGCCTGCTGGCATTCAGTACCTAAACCCTTGTCATGCTGCCTATATCCAGCACAAAGCTGAGGTCTGACTGCCTTCCCTATCTACAAACATGAGCAAGGATATGTCTTGGCATGGACACTGCCACATCCTGGGGTAAACAGGGCCTCTGGAATAGGGGACACAGCTCACAAACCCACGGGCATAAGGCTAGGTGGAAAATATCTTGACTTGCTAGGCTCCAAAACTGTGGATCCTAGAAAGGAACCATTCATTCAAAAATTTAGAGAAGGATGCGCTGGGGATTTTGCTCAGTGGCACCACCCCTACCTTGCAAGTGCAAGGTCCTGAGTGTGATTCCCATTACAAAAAAAGAAAAAAAAGAAAAAAAAATTAGAGAAAGCAAAACTTCCTGCTCATGGACTCATTTTCATTCTTTCTTTTTTCTTCTTTTTCTTTCTCATTTTATTTCTTTTTAATTGTTTTTCTTTTAATTTTTTTCTCTCCACATTATTTTTTGTCCTTTCTTTTACCTTCTATTTCTTGTTTTCTCTTTTGGCTACTTTTATCTAATTCTATAAATATCCTTCTAATTCTTAATAGGATGCTTTGTCTCACCTTTCTTTCCTCCTTTTCATCTCCCCTTGTTTAATTTTTCAAATTTGTCTTCTTGAATTTTCTCATTCCCAACCCCTTGTCTTTAATAATATAAACATTACCGGTGCCTACCTAGCAAACAAAAGGTCCCGAGTTCGATCACTGGTACAAAATACTACTACTACTACTACTACTACTACTACTACTACTACTAATATAAACATTAAACTTTACTAACCTTTAGATAATTGATTCTATGTAACTACTATTGAATTCTTTTTCTATCATCATAGAGGTATAGTTGTCACGTTTAGTAGATATCTAAATGTCTGTACATTAATATTTGGTTTTTTCATAGTGTTTCTACTATATAGATTGTTTTTCCCCTAAGGAGAAGGGTGATACAGTACTGGCTCTTATGGTATGTCAGTATTTCCAGGGTTGCATAACTGATGCTACTGATAAGTTTTTTCTGTATGCCAATACCCAGATTAACTGGATGACATTAACAATACTGTGGTCCATTCTTGGAGTGCTGGCCAATTAAACTGCATACCCCTTCCCAAATTGATGGGCGTAGTCAGATCTTGGGACATTAGAAAAGGAATATAGTTAACCATGCCTTTGCTGAATCACTGAAAAGCAGACTAACTATAAAGATATCTCCGTACTAGCAACAAAGTCTTTCTGCTAGAAGCAACCCCAAATCTAAACACAAAACAAAACAAGGAAACAAAATAATAGAAACATGGGAAGACAAGGCAACAAAATGTCTCGAAAAACTCCCAACTCCCATAAAGCCACTTCATGGTGTATCAAGGAGGATAAAAGTAAAGCCGCATGGCTGAATTATTTGAAAAGATAGTGGAGGAGATGAAAAAACAAATCAAATTGCTCAGCAGGCTTACAGAAGATATAACAAAATAGATGATAGAGGTATTAAAGAAAATGATCAGGGGGCTTACCAAACACATTAATAGAAAGCTACCTGAGCTAAACAAGATGATAGAGAACAAGAGTGACCAGTTGAGCAAAGAATTCGAGTCCATGAGATGGTTCCAAACAGAAATCGAAGAGATTAAAAATTATATTGAAAGTATGGCCAGCAGCTGCAATTGATGTGAGGGACAGACTATCAGAATTATAGGCTTGCCTTCAAAGACCAATTTTCTCAGAGATACCTTAAAAAGAACAAGAGAACAGGAAAAATGCATTCAAGAGCTGCTAGATGATGCAAAGAAGACTAATGTAAGATTAATTGGAATAAGTGAAAAATCAGAAGACAGCACAAAGGGCATATAAAACCTATTTAGAGAAATAATAACAAAAATTTCCAAATATAGGGAAAGAATTAAATATACAGAGAAGTGATGCATATTGAACCCCCAGTAGCCATTATCAAAAGAGAACCTCTCCATGCCACAGCATAGTCAAAATACCAGAAGTCAAACACAGCAACAGAATTGATGGAAAAACAGGTAGTTCCATGACAAAGAGCACATGAAGAAATTCATGACCACCAAACCAGTACTTCAAAAAATTCTCAAGGATATCCTAGAATGAGACAATGAAGCCAATAATGCAAAAATAAATAAATAAATAAAGCTAATGGAATGAATACCATGCAGGGTGAATAGTTAAGCAGAAAGGAGAAAGAAAAAAAAAAGGAAAATAATGCAATGACAAGAATAAGTCAGAACCTCTCATTAATCACTGTCAATGTGAATGGTTTCAGTGTCCCAATCCAAAGACACAAATTGGCAGGATGTATTAAGAAACAAAATCCAACAATATGAAATACAAATGTAAAAAATCAAAGGATGGAAAACAATATTCTGTGCAGTGGGAACCCAGAGAAAAGCAGGAGTAGCTATCATAATTTCAGACAATGTGGATTTCAAGCTGAACTAATCAAAAGAGGCAATGAGAGTCACTGCGTATTGGCAAAGGGGCCAATTCAAAAGGAAGAGATAACAATTATAAACATATGTGTACCAAAACAGGGCACAGCAGAAGGCATCAGTATCCTGGAATTCAAGTTATTGTACAAAGCTACAATGATAAAAACAGGATGGTATTGGTAAATAAAATAGATACGTGGATCAGTGGAACAGAGTAGAGGATGCAGAAGCAACTCCAAGGACTTTTAGCAACTTGATCTTTGACAAATTGCCCAAAAACTTATGCTGGAGGAACGATAGCCTCTTCAAAAATGGTGCTGGCAAAACTGGCTATTCTCGTGCAGAAGATTGAATCTAGACTCATATATCTCACCATGTACTAAACTAAAGTCAAAATGGGTCAAACATTTAAATATTAAATCAGAAACAATCTGCTGGAAGACAAAAAATAGTTAACACTCTTGAAGACATAGGCAAAGGCAAGGACTTTCTGAGCAGAACCCAAAGGCACAAGAAATAACATCAACAATCAGTAAATGGGATAATATCAAATTAAAAGGCTACTGCACAGCAAAGGAAACAACCAACAGAATGAAGAGACAACCTAAAGAATAGGAAAAGAATTTTTGCCATCTGTTCTTCAGACAAGACTAATATCTACAATAAATAAAGGACTCAAAAAACTAACTTCCCAAAAGAAAATGGGCATCTGAAATGAATAGACATTTCTCCGAAGAAGAAAGGCAAATGGAAAATAAGTACATGATAAAATCTTCAACATCTCTGGTCATTAGAGAAATGAAAGCAACACCGAGATTTCTTCTTGCTCCAGAAAGAATGGCTATCACCAAGAAATAAGATGAGAACACATGCTGATGAGCCATTTCATTTCCCATTGATGGGAATGTAAACTTGGATAACTGTTATGAAAATCAGTATAGAGTTTCCTCAAATAACTAAAACAAGAAATTCCATTTGACCCAGATATTCCTAAAAGAGTTAAAACATCATATTATAGTGATGCATGCATTCCACAATTATAGCAGCACAAATCACAACAGCTAAATCTTAGAAGCAGCCTATACATCCACCAGTAGATGAATGGATAAAGAGAATGTGGTATTTATACACAACAGAGTTCTACTCTGCCATAAAAGTATAAGCTTGTATCATTTGTAGGAAAATGGATGCACCTTGAGACCATAATGTTAAGTGAAATCAGACACACAAGTTTAAATATTCATTTCTCTTATGTGAAAAATTAAAAACATGGATAAAGAGCAAAATAAAAGACATAATAAGAAATAGCTAGAGAAATTTTTTGAGAATGGAAAAGGAACCGACAGATGGAGAGAAGGGATTGAAGTTAATATGTGTTATGTGCAGGTACCCACTTCCCATGAGGAGTGTGAACATTATGAACTGAAAACATGTACTGAAAAAAGTGTAGGGGAACATAAGATGGAGCTGAGTAGGCTCTTTAATTCCAATTATAGTGAAGGTAGAAATAAAGCTGTATAGAAATGGCAGAGACAGAACAAGGTATCCTGGAGAGGTAGTTACTATTTGTGTGGAGGTGAGAGGTCTTTGTTGCTAGGCAGCCAAATATAGAACTTAGTCACGTGAAAGACAAAAGGGTGAGGGCTTATGTTTGTCTTTGCTCTGTGTGGTCTCAACTACACATCTCTGTTGATAAGGATCATACCAACCAGGTAGAGACAGAAAGGGCAATGGAAAGTACTGTTTTCTCTACTGGTAAGTTAGTTATTCATTAAGTTTGGTTGTATGCATAAGCTGGTGTCCAGAGAAATGTCTAGGATACAATAAAATTTCTTAATTTTTGTTTTATTTTCCTTTTAAAGATGTGAATGATTTGAGCATGGGGAGAGAGTAGAGTATTGTGAATAGGGTGACCAACCATTTGAGTTTTATGGGGACTGTGTGGGCTAGTGCCAGATAGTTCCTGGGAAATCGGGGTGAATTAGGTGGCTAACCTAACTGCCAGTTAAAACAGGAAATCATAAAAATACTGTAGTGAGTGGGTAACATTGATGGAACCAGTCCTCGAGGAGGAGATAGATGTGCTCTAGACGAGAAAGCAAGGAGTTACATCCTGGAGGAGGATGACTTTTCCACGGAGACTGAGATGGAGAGGTAGAAGAGAGATGGAAATAAGTGTTGATCCTGATAGGTTTGTAAGGGGGAAAATCCTAGAAACCGTTTATTCTTTGAGAGATTATAGCGATGAATGAGTACACAGAATCGCATTGACGGTGAATTGAAGAAGTTAAAGAAAATTTTAAAACCTTTCGATTTTCAGATGAGGTGTTTAGGGCCAGGGATTTAGCTATAGTTTCGCCGCCTGCTGCGCAAGCTCAAGGACCCGAGTTCGATCCCCGGTACCAAAAAACAAAAACAAAAACAAAAAACAGATGGTGTTTACTTGCTAACACCAGCTGAGAGTTAAGATTTTTAGTGGAGACGTTTATCAGTTCGATGCCAAAGCCTTTGAAGTTTGTGGAAAAGTGGTTAATAAGAAATGTGAGCTGGGCCTGGTGGTCCACGCCTGTAACCCTAGTGCTTGGGAAGCTGAAGCACGTGGATCTCTGGGAGTTCAAGGCCAGCATAGGTTACATAGTGAGTTCAAGGCCAGTCTGAACTACAGAGAGAGGAGGCCCTGTCTTAAAAAACAAAAAGAAAAAAAATTTAAAATAAATTTAAATTTAAAAATTAAAAAATAAAAATAGAAAGAAAGAAATGTAGAAGTTAGTGTAGTTAGATGGTGCAAGATGAATGACCTAGCATTGCTTTTGTGGGCCGCTGAGAGCAGGAGGCTAGAGTCTGAACCACAAAGTGTGAGGCTTCCTGGACAGAGCCTTCAGTGAGCAGTAATTTCTGTCAGAGCTCATGTTTACTAAGGTGTGTCGATGTACCCAGCTTTCCTGCAAGAGGTGGAAGGTATAGTTTGTTCTCTCTCTCTTATTCTCTCTCTCCTTTTCTCCTCCCTCTCTTCCTTCCCTTCTTCCTCTCCCCTTCTCCCCCTTTCCCTCTTTCCTTGCTTCCATCTTTCCCTCTTCCCAACCCTCTGTCCCTCTCCTTCCTCTCCCTCTCCCTCTCCCTCTCCCCCACCCCAATCTGCTATCAAAAAAGAGAAGTTGTATGGAGGTGGAGCGGAACTTGAATCAGGGAAAATGGAGCATGCACTAGAAATGGATTCAGAGTTCAAGACTGGATCGACCCTTGGTTAGGCATCTTTATTTTTCATATCTCCTCTGCAAAGCTTCACAAAAGTGTGATTATACATACTATGAGAAACTAACTCTGTTCTTATGAGAAACTATATTTACTCTGTCAATACGCTTTCTCACAGTCAGAGATGGTATCAAGGTTTTAGGCGTGATGCATCTTTATGATGAGGTACCCAGTTTAAGAGAAAGAACATAAAATTTCAAATGTAAAAAGTATGAAAAAGAATGTTTATTTAGCATAACAAGGGAATCATAAGAAATCATAAATTTTTAAATGTTGAAAGCATCATAAACATCACAAAATGTGAACATCCCCAATATTTATGTTAATCAAGTCCTGACACACTTGTGTCATGCATTTCTCTGGCGTCTTTTAAATTGATTCTTCATTTACCTCCTTTAGGAGAATTACTTTGTTATACAGTATTGTTGATGGCATATCCAAGGAGTTTTTTTTCATTGTTTAGAAAAAAATTCAGTGTCCCAACTTGTTATTAGTAGGAAGGACAATAATTATATACTTTTTTATCAAATTTCAGAAAACCTTTATCAAGTCTCTCGTTTATGAATTATAATCGGTGAGTTTCATAAAATGTGTTGTTGAGCCCTTCCTGGAGTCTTTATGGAGGTCTACCCAATAATAGGACCCCTGAAGCATCAAGTGTATAGCCTGGGATTAATCTGATTTGCAATATAAAATATAATAAATGTCTGTTTACTATGTTTTTAGTCTTGTTGCTATTTACTCTCATTTTTGTCAGTTAGTTGAGATGATGACAAAATCTATGGACATTTTCTTCAGCATATAAAAAGAATTCTTCCTAATATATTCAAAATAAAGTACTGAATTCAATATTACAGGCCCCTAGAGCTTATTTTTGTTATTGCCCCAAGTTTCTGCACCAAACCACTATTAGTGTTCTGTTTTATTTTCTTTCCCTAGTACCTGACACATCTGGCACTTTCTTTGTTCTGAACATATAAGTCCTTCTGTTATGATGAAGGAAAGAAATGATTACGTGTTGCCAGGCAGACTGTATGCCAGGTACAAAAATTCCCCATTTTCAAAAACTGGCAGTAAATATATTTGAGCAAACACTGGGACCCTTCCCTGGCAATTCTAAAAGAGCAGGTACTAACTCTTTGTACTTTGCCTTACTCAAATAAGAGATACCATATGGCATTTAAGCGTTTATGTCTGGGTTATTTCCTCAATATCGTATTTTCCAGGTGCACTTATTTTCCTACAAATGCCTCACATTTGTCTTTCTTTATACCTGAGTATAAAGTATGTATTCCATTATGTATAGATGCCACAGTTTTTCTTTATACAATCATCTGTTGGGCATACAGGCTGCCTCCAAGACTAAGCTATTATGAGTTGTGCTGCTATAAACATTGGTATGCATGTATCACTGTAGTATGATGTCTTAAGCTCTTTGAGGAAGATACCTAGAATGGGGATAGCTGGGTCATATTGTTATACTCAATCGCAGGAGATTATAGAGAGTCGCCAACACTCTGAGCCAATTTTGGGTCCTTTTATTGCTGGTGGTGGAGAGCGGCTCCTACAAAAACTCTCCATGGGGTGGGGGGCGCGGGGGAATCGGCTTATGGGTTTCTTTTAAGTGGCTTTTTTAGTTGCGGAGGGCTCCTGAAGAGGGGGAGTGCAAGCGGAACTTTACAGCAGCAGAACTTTACTAAGTTGGTAGGACTCAGGGGAAGTTTCACACAGTTTAGTTGAAACAAAATATGACACAGGTGTGGAGTATTCTGTTCACAAGGTCATACAGATAACATAGCTGCAGACTGCTCTACCAAATGGGATGTGGTGGTCTGTCATGCATCAAGCCAGGGGACTTCCAAGAAAGGAGGGGGACAGTGATGCGGCACAAAATGGAGTCAGGTTGGCTATCACAATATTGCATATGGGAAGGGGTTCCAGAGACTGAGGGGAGGAGGGGAAGGAGAAATAAGTAGAATAAAGATATGCCAAGTACAGGAGCCTAATAACCTCCATAAATATAAACATTATACGCCATATACGCCACGAGCTGAACTTAATAATATCAACAATGAAAATGGGGAAAGGGGAATTAGAGGAAGAGGAAGGGGGATTAAAAACAGAAATAAGTTGTATTACATACATGTACCCACTCCCCAAGATGACTGTAAACTGCATGTACTGCAAACATGTACTAAAAATAAATAAATAAATAAAAACAAAATAGCAGGCACTTTGATGCCTTTGCCTTAATAAGACCATTTCTTTCCCCTAGGCCTTTGAGATGCATGGAATCTCAATTTTCCTTCTGAAGGCATTGCCTTTTCTCTTTTATATCTTCCTACTACAACAACATTGTCCTCCCAATGATACAGGGCAGCAAGTGATCCAAGCAAGCAAAATAATCCAAACAAGGGAAATATAACTCCCAACCTGCTAGATATCTGAACTACGAGGTCGTTCTCTAAAATTGAGGACTGAATTCTAGGAACAATGGAGGTTAAGAGTAGAAAAATTTATTGAGAGAAAGATGGCTTCTAGAAAGGGGACTGGAAAGTGAATTGCCTGTCCACTCTGCTTCTCAAAGGCATTTTATTGAGCAAAGCCATGAGGTGAGGCAGGTTCAAGGTGGGACAAAACTACAGTCAACTAATGTGATCCAATGAGAAATCACAAGGTGGGTGTAAGGTGGGACAAAACTATGATCAACTAATAAGAGTACAAGTACAGTCACCCCGGTAATATTGATTAAATGGGGATCAAATGGGGAAGTTAGTTGTGCAGCAAGCATGTGTGCAATGAACAGGGAAATGGGCTAGGAAGATTGAGGCCTATTTAGAATATCAATCACCGCTGTTTATCCCCAGGGGAAGTAGGTGGGTGCAGTACCTTTGCTCTTTCTACAATGCTAACCAGTGAATGTGGCTCAATTGTCATCTATGCTCAATTCCCAACCCTGTCTAACTGCCTTACAATTTTTAGCTAACTTGGGTATACGCAATAGTAATACGCTTAACAGACATCAGATTTTTATGAATTTGTTTCCTTTTCTAATAATTGTAATCAAACATGAATATAGGTACTTCACTACCTCTGTATTTTTTTCTATTTTTCTTTGTACACAGAACTATGCAAGATGTTTTAGAAGATACTAAAACGAGTGAAAGTGATAATTGATGTGATCAAGGACTTGCAGTCTAATCAAGATATGAATAAAGGAGAATACAATGAGGAGACAGCAAATATAGAAAAAACTAACGTAAAGCATGACATTGATGCAAATTGACCTAAAACGGTGGTTATTTTTGATGTCTCCAGTCGACAAATGAAACACTTTCAATAGTTGTGCACGGACAACAGGCATAAAGCAATGCTGTGTCCGCCAAAGTCGCCCTATTCTGGAGGCTCTCTAATTTTGCTCTAACTTTTTATTGCAAACAATTTTATTTTATCTGTATAAGGTAGATACTTGTACAAGCACCCATCTTCCAATGTCAACCATTATCAACATAAAGCCCCGCTTTATCTCATCTCTGCCCTCCTGACTCTCCACCCCCATTTATTAAGAGCAAATCCAAATAATTCTCTTGATTTCCTCAAGTTTTAATCACTCCATTCCTTTTCTTCCCTGACTTCTTTACTCAACTCTACCACCTGTCTCACTTTTATTTTCATTTTCGCCTTTAGCATTGCAGCTGTGACAGTCCAGTTCTGCCAGGACACAGATCCGTAAAGGTCAGCCCTGCACCCTAAGCACCACGGGAGAAGGAGCAGGACAAGCAATGGCTTTTACTCCGTCCTCTTCTGCATGGGATAGATAGTTCCATAATGGGGGCTGTGGAGGATAGAGCATCCATGAGAGTCACTCTTGTGTTGCTCTGGCTTGAGGTGTCTCTGATGTCTTCCAGCCTCTCCCAGGCTGGGCCCGCCCAACGTCTCAGTTCTCCAGAAGTGGTGACCCCCTTGAAAGTGACCAGCAGGGGCAGAGGTGCAAAGACTCCAGGCTGGCTCTCCTATAGCCTGCTATTTGGGGGCCAGAGACATGTTGTTCACATGAGGGTCAAGAAGCTGATGGTTTCCACACACCTCCCTGTACTCACCTACACAGAACAACATGCCCTCTTGGAGGATCACTCCTTCATCCCCGATGACTGTTACTATCATGGTTACGTGGAAGGGGCCCTTGAGTCTCTGGTTGTTTTCAGTGCCTGTTGGGGGGGACTGCGGGGAGTGTTACAAATAAATGACCTCATGTATGAAATTGAACCCATCAGGCACTCTGCTGCATTTGAACATCTGGTTTATAGGCTAAACAGTAATGAGACACAATTCCCACGCATGAAGTGTGGTTTAACAGAGAAGAAAACTGCACGCCAGCGCTTGGAATTGGAAGTCGGTGAGAACTTGGTTCAGAAAAACAATTCTGCTGGTGACTGGTGGACCCACATACAGTTTCTGGAGCTGGTTGTAGTGATAGACCATGATTTCTTCGTTTACTCCCAAAGCAATTTGTCAAAAGTTCAAGAGGACATGTTTCTTGTTGCCAATATAGTGGATTCTCTGTATCATCAGTTGAGTACTTATGTGACTTTGATTGGGCTTGAGATTTGGAATCAAGGAAATATTTTCCAGATGACAAGTATAGAACAGGTTTGGAGTGATTTCTCTCAGTGGAAAAAAACCAGGCTTTCCCAGCTACAGCATGACGCCGCACACATTTTCATAAAAAGTTCACGCATAAACATACTTGGTCTAGCCTATGTTGCAGGAATATGTCGTTCTCCTATTGACTGTGGAGTTTGTAATTTCCAAGGAGACCCCTGGTCTCTCTTTGCTAATACTGTGGCCCATGAGTTGGGTCATATTTTGGGTATGCAGCATGACGAGGAATTCTGTTCGTGTGGGAAAAGTGGTTGCGTCATGAGTGCTCTCAGAATACCAAAAGCAGAGAGATTCACCAATTGCAGCTATGTTGATTTTATGAAAACCATTTTAAATCAAGGATCATGTCTGCACAATTTTCCAAGACCAGTAAAAGTCTTTCTGCCTAATCGCTGTGGGAATGCTGTGGTTGAAAGAGAAGAGGAGTGTGATTGTGGAGCTATACAGCAGTGTGAACATGATCCCTGCTGTTTGTTGAACTGTACTCTGAGGCCTGGAGCTGCTTGTGCTTTTGGACTGTGTTGCAAAGACTGCAAATTCATGCCATCCGGGGAACTGTGCAGAGAGCAGGTCAATGAATGTGACCTTCCAGAGTGGTGCAATGGGACCTCCCACTGGTGCCCAGAAGATGCACATGTGCAGGATGAGATACCCTGCAGTGAAAATGCCTACTGTTATCAAAAGCAATGTAATAACCATGACCAACAGTGCAGGGAGATTTTTGGCCAAAAGGCACAGAGTGCACCTCAGAATTGCTATAGGGAAATCAACTCTCAGGGAAACACTTTTGGCCACTGTGGTATAAATGGCACAGTATACCTGAAATGTAATATGTCTGACATCTTTTGTGGGAGAATTCAGTGTGCAAGTGTGGAAGACATGCCGCATATCCGAGACCATTTTGTTTTGCAGAACGTGCATGTCAGTGGTGTCCCATGCTGGAGTATCGGCCATCGCTTAGGGGTGAGCATACCTGACATTGGTGAAGTGAAAGATGGCACTGCCTGTGGAGCAGGAAAGATCTGCATTCACAAGAAGTGTGTCAGTCTATCCGTCCTGCCACGAGTCTGCCTTCCTGAGACTTGCAATATGAGGGGGACCTGCAATAACAAGAATCACTGTCACTGCACTGATGGGTGGTCCCCACCCGACTGGCTGCACAGAGGCTATGGAGGTAACATTGACAGTGGCCCAGTGTCTACAGCAAAAAGAGTTTTCCTGACACTAGTTGTGATTCTTTCTGTGTCCGTTTTGATGTGTCTCTTGATGGTTGGGCTTTACATATATTCTCGAATGCGTTCTGGTCCCGAGCAGACTGAAGATCACTCATCATGTTAAGAAAATGTCTCTAATTTAAAATCCTGTGCATGATTAAGGTTTAGTTCCCAGGCAGTAGAAATGTTAGCACATGCCCCAAACTGAGCACATTTGTGACAGTTTACAGAAAGATACAGGGAGCTTTCCTTTCTAAGGGTCAGAAACTTTGTCATTAAATACAGGTAATTCTTAACGTGTTCCTACCTAGTGTTCATGGTCTGAAACAGCAAATAAAGCTCATTTCCTGCCTCAACAACCCACTTGAGTCTTTTTGTGTTTCTTGGGCAGTGATATGACTCATGGAAAGGCAGAAGACAGACCTCAGAGTGTCTGAAGGTGAGTCTTCCTCTCTACTGCCACTTAGTAATTTGGGGAAACTATTTAAATTTTCTGACATTCTGTTTCAAAATCTGAAAAGAAAGTCTTCCTGTATACTGCCATTTAGTAATTTCAGGAAACTGCTTAACTTTTTTGACATTGTGTTTCAAAATACGAAAAGAAAGGAATGGTGATAATATTTGACTCACTCACTCAACTTCACCGGTGGGTTTATGTGGTATACAACCAAGAGAAATGAATTCTCCTTGAGTATGAACAGATTGACGTTTGCTTAATGAACCCTTTTGAGCTTGTGCCCTGGGCGCTTCCTAGCCAACCTTGTCTGTTCTAATATTTTAACCTCATTTGACCATGTAGGGCATTTGCTTTGAATAGCAAAATATAAACTCCATGAGGGCAGGATAGTCTTTTTTTTTGTATTAAATTCTTTTATTGGTACATTGTAGGTATACAACACAATTACATTTCTCATTGGGAATTGTACCTTTATATAATGCATCTTGGTTCTTATTTTTTCCCCATTCCTAGCCCTCCCTTCACGCCCTCCACCCTTCCCTATTTACAAAGACTTTATTTCCATTTTTTCCATTTCTCAGCATTTTTCCTTTCCCTTCTTTCCTTTCCCCTGTGCCTCCCACTACCCCTACCCCTTTGGACCTTTTCTTCCTATTTTACATTATCGATTATTCATTCTAATCATTGGTACATTTTAGGTATACAACATAATGACATTCATCATTGGAAATTTGCACCTTTACATAGTCTCTGTTGGTTCTTGTTTTTCACCTTTGCCCAGCCCTCCCTTCAACCCCTCCATTTCTCCCTATTTACAAAGATTTTGTTCCTATTTTTCCATTTTCTCATATTAATCCCATTCCCTTCTATCCTTTCCCCTAGCCCTCCCACTTCCTTCCCCTTTGCCCCCTTTCTTCCTATTTCACATGACCTATTATACATTTAGTCCTTATTTACACTTTCAGTTTCTCACACCAGAGAAACTATTCAGTATTTACACATGTGTGTCCTATTGATTTCACTTAAGAGTATTGCCTCAATGTGCATCCACTTAGCTATAAATGTCTCTAATTTCTCATTTTTTATGGCTGAGTAGTACTCCATTTTATAAGAAAACCACATTTTCTTTATCCAGTCTCCAGTTGATGGGCATTTGGGCTGTTTCCAAGTTTTAGCTATCACAAGCTGCGCTGCTATGAACATGGGTGCACATATATCACTGTGGTATGATTCTTTTAATTCTTTGGGAGGGCAGGATAGTCTTTATCTGCTTTGCTCACTATTATACCCCCAAACCTGGAACAATGCCTAATAGACAATAACTTTGAGTGAAGTAATAAAGTGGGAGTATAAATGAATGGGGTATTAAGTTAGGAAACGTAAAAATAATACTTTGTCCAGCATCTGGGGGACATTACTCTGGTCATCTTTTAAATGCAGCTGTTTGTGTCTGATGCACTTTGCTGATATTTTTCTACTTGGTTTGTCTCCTCCTCAGTTTTCCCTGGGCATTTTTGAAAGCCTGCCTCCTGAAAATAGATCTAGTCAGATATCCTTTGTATTATCCAGGTAATTTCGGAAAGGTACTCTGTAAATTTAGTCACATGACCTTCCAGTATAATTTTCTATTTTGCTTTGCTTTGTAAACTTTGCGCCCTCTGGCTATTTTCTGTTTAGAATATATTTGGCTGTGTTATCCTCTGCACGTCTATGTGTGCATGCAATTTCTACTCCCAAATGTTGTTTACCACCCTCCCCTACTCTTTTTCCTTAGAAAACTCCAATTCTTCTCTCAATAGAAGCTAATGACACATCTTTGGAAAATCATTTCTGTCTCTTTTTTTTTATTAGTGCATATTAGTTATACAGGGTAGTAGGTTTCATTTTGGCATATTTGTACATGCATCTAACATATTTTTATCTTTTCCACCCTTTATTCTCCTTTTAGCCTTTTCCTCCCCCTCTTCCCTTGGATCCTCTTACTTTTTTGTAATATGCCCCCTTCTACATTCATGTTCATCCTCTCTCTTTCTCTCCCTCTCCATCTCCATATATATATGGATGCACATGAGAGAAAACATGCAATATTTGATTTTTGGTGTCTGGCTGGTTTTACTTAACGTTTCATTTGTTTTCATGCAAGTGACATGATTTCAATTTTCAGAAAAGCATTCCTGTATGAAATGTTAGGTGTCCCACATGTGTAACCCTGTGACTTTATGGTCACTCATTTGTGGTTTGATGCATTCTAGGAAAAGGTGAGGAGAGGGCCTGAAATGTACCAGCCAGGAACAGAAGAAACAAACAACCAAGATGCAGCCGAGTAATTATTCCCATTGTGTAATTATTTTTCATTGGTTGAGTTAATTCTGGATAGATAGTTCAATCCAAGTTTATCAAGATTGTTGAGTAGAATTAGCCTCCTAATAACAAACATTGAATCATCCCCACTCTTTTAATTTGGCTTCCCCCAAAAGCAAACTTAAGAGAAAGAACTATGGTCGAATAAGTTTACCAGGTATGATTGAAACGGACAGTGAACATTTTAATGAAATTTATTCAAGTAAAATAAACAGTGCCATTTAGCCCCCTTGCTTCAAACACACTTTTTCCATTCTTCCTGCGACTTTCTGAAGCAGTTCTGGAAATCCTCTTCTGTGACTGTCCTTAGGACTCATAATTCATACACTCACACACGCACACGCACACTCACACACACACACACACACACACAGAGAAGCATGGAAATGCTGCTGCTGAGTACTACCCAACACAAAGGCAGGCTCCTAAAAAGGTTAAGGTGTGTCATCATCCACCTTATTTGTAAGTTCTGGAAGGGTGTGACTGCTAGCTCTCCCCCAAAGTCAAAATAACAAGGAAAGGTAGATGATTTTAATGACACTGAGACAGCCACGATAACCCAACTAATGACACTCACAAACACTTCCAGAAAGGGACAAGAATGATAGGTGTGTTTGAAATGAGGGGAAGTATTCTGAGGGGAATTAACAGCAATGTGTCTTGTACTGTGATACATTTAGAAATACTTTTTGAATATTCACTGTATTTTTCAATCATGTCTCTTAGTGGGGAAGCACAAAATAGGTACGTTAGCGAACAAGTTTCCTCTGTGAGCAACTGTGGGCTCTCTGGGAAGTCACAGGTAGTGGAACATTTAGTGAAATATTACTCCATGGTCTGGAGAAAGCTGTTGGAAAGAGAAAATATGAGACATAAGCATTTGAAGTAGGCAAGTTTCTGAGCATGGAGATTGTCCACTGTGGCAGCTAGTGATCTCAGGTGAGATAAAGGATGTAGGGTGAGCCATCAGCATCTATTACACCCTGACTCCCTAAATACTGAAGCAGTAATTAAACCTGCATGCTTTATCTGGGCAATGCAGTGATAGAGAAATGAGAGTAAACGTAAAGGTGTTTGAGGTTATAAAGGGTAATAGGGCAGATGCTAATGGTGCCCATTCCTATTCTCTTAGGCTCAACATTGAGATTGTCTGTAGTCCTGGTGACGATTCCTATGTGCACCAAAGGTTTTCTTCTTTATAAGAAAGTGTTTAAAAAAGAAAGTGTTTGGGCCATTCATGGAACAGGCCAGAAGGAAGAGTGAATTAATGCATCTGGAAACATCCCTCAACAAAAGAGAGGTGTCTTGGGAATAAATATCACAGCTTCCCCAGTCCTCCTGGGACAATGCTCAGGTTTTCAACACTGTTTCTCAGAGGGCCTTCAGGAAAGTTATGTCCTAGGGGCCCACGTGGTCACCCATCTGTTAATGCATGGTTGATTATTTTTTTAACCCTTTCCTGTTTTCCATGCCTTCACCATGCACTTGGTGCTGGAATTACACCTCACACTATGTGCGCTCAAATCCTTATCTCAGTCTTTCTTTTTGACTTTTGTACCATAAATGTTTCTTACAAGGCAAACCCATAAGCAGGCAAGATTCTTGAACTGGATCAGTTACTTGTTGGTTAGCAAGGATGACTAACAGTAAAAACATGTAGATTTTTTTGAAGACTGGTGTGCAGTAGCATCATAAACTAAAATCCTCATTTGTGGTGTATTGGGGAAAAGGGAAAGATGGAAGCAGTACTCTGGCTTATACAATAGCTCTGGTACTTGTATTGCAAATATAATTGTGATATTATTTAACTGGTCAATAAGCTTTGGAAGAAGAATTGTTGCTTCAGGTCAGATAAATATCAAGCTTGGGCATAGTGTGAAAGTCTTAACACTTCTATAACAATGATTAAAGAGAACCTCAGCCTAACATCATAGGGAAGGCTGTGCTGAAAATGATAGCCTAGACTTACCATAGAATATAAAGATGATTAAATTTAGTTCTCTGGTGTGTTTTGCATGTAGAAGTTAGATGCCCCATTAGGGAAGAAGCGTTCCCTTGAGAACTTGGATGGCAACATCTGAGAGGGTGCATTTGAAAACTTGAATCCTGATATTTTCATGAACACTCTGGCCGGCAAAATCTACTTCTAATTCCTTGCGAGAGGATAGCAGCCTTTTACTTCCTACAGATTTTGTTTTGCCAAAGCTTTTGTTTGTCCTCTGGTAGATCAATTTTTACCACTCCTCATTTCATCTAAACTGATGACTTAGTGTCTGTTCTCAGAATGGCCTAAGTGAGTATGACAGGAACAGGATCACTGATCAAAAGAGACATGGGAGCTCTCTCCCAACAGGAGTTAAGAGATCATACATAGATATTGATCCTGAGGGTACAGGTTCAGGAGAAAGAATATGAGATTATATAAAAGAAAGCTTTTAAAAAGGGATCACTTCGGATTTTATATCCTTACAAAGCACCTAGAATTTACCCTACTACATTGGTGGAATTACTTCATTTCAAAGGCATGGAAATATTGATAGAGTACAGTAATTGAGGTGCCAGAACTACTTTGTCAGAAAATTGATGGGGGCTAGCATATTTGGGGAGGGTGATACTTTAGACCAGGGAAACCACACTGACTGATTCACTGGGAGCCCTAGAGGACTCTCTCTTAAGCAGGAAGAAATGAACTCGTAATAAGGGCATAGGTGTCAACAGTAACCTCAGTGGTGGCTGTCATTGTAGGCTGGAGTTTATGGCGGGACATGGTACCATTGAGTTAGGCTTCCCACTGTCAGTGAAGGTAATGAGATTCCAGAATAGCAGAAAAATGGTTGTAGCCCTTGATGGAAATAAGCTGGGCTTATTTATTATTTACTGATTATTGTGATGGGTTATAAGACTGGGAAGGTCAACATGAGACCCTGACTTAAAATAATTTGAGGCCGTGTCTAATAGATTCTGGTGTTCCTAGGGATGAGCTAGATGGCCAGGCAATGAGGACACCGTGTGCCTTATATAACCAAAATAGATCAAAAGACCGTGATCAGTAGACTGATGCCAATTCCTGCAGTGCGCATATCTGGACTACTTTTTTCAGGCTCAGATCCCTGAGCTACAGCCAATTGAAGAAAAGACCAGAAAGAACCCCACAATGGCCTCCAAAATATATACAGTAAAAATTCCCTTGACTTGTTTTTTAAAGGGATCATGTTCCTGAAAGGATACTGTTTTGCTAAATGAGCATTTAACAGAGTAATTACACAACACAGAAAGAAGAATATCAGTTGTTCAGGGACCATCATAGGTAAGTTCTTCTGTGACATGAATAACACAGAGCCCAAAATGCCTCATGAAGCTCACCAGGTAGTAAATTCCTGATACAAGGGCATAAGATGTTGGTGGATCCAATGGCTCCACAAACTTTCTGTGTCCTGCGTATATTAACGTAGTTGCTTCCAATGTCCTCACAGTGGCTCTTTGACCTGTGGAGAAATAGTTGTCATGATAGCAAAGATCATATTGGAAGACCCAAAATTTCTGCCCACACCCATCCATGTCCACCCATGAGTGTAAAGCAGGAGCATTAACATGTCATGAGTGGAACAGCACAGAGGAAGACCACCATTAATAATCATTAAATGTTGCAAGGTGATAAACCACACCACATTCCCATTTAATTCACAATGATGTCTGCTGCAAAGCTCAGAGAGACCTTCATGAGTGTTGGTGAATTTCTATGATAGGCGATCAGGGCATAGCAAATTGGCTGGACAATTGGGCATGACCCATCAATCACAGAGACCTGTCAATTATAGAGATTCGGGACACATGTGCAGAACAGCTTCTGAGCCCTATGCTTGATACAGAGAATGGTCTCTTTGATTTTGGCACAAGATCAAGATAAGTAAGTCCTGTCCCCGATAGCAATCAGGGAATTCTGTCTTCAGTTGTTCTAGCATGAGATCAAGCAGGTCTTTGATAGGCTGGCCTGGATCTAACATCAGAAAGAAGATATAAAAGACAGTGGCCATTGATTTTGCTGCCACTGTCCTCTTGTCCTTGCAGTGGCCTGCCCTGCATACTGCAGGTATCTTCCCTTTCTCCTTCAGAGCACTTTTTTGTCTTGAGCACTTCTTTTTCTTCTTCTTTTCCCCTTAGTGAACATTAAATTTTCATGTTCATAGATTGTCCTTGGGATGGGACAGCAGCAAAAACTGGAAAAGTGCCACCGACCACCACACTGTCAGACAAAAGTTTTGGTGAAAACAACCAGGAGGTAACCAGTGGAGCCAGGAAGTAACAAACAGCCAGTAAGTAAGAGCCCACTGGGTGTGGAGTCGGAACAGAGAGCACTTTGGCATGCAGCCCCACACAGGTCAGCCACTTTACTAGGGCCCCACCATGGAATGAAGCTGAATAAGTGCCTCTGCCCCAGCCACACACTGGGCTGAGAAGCTGTCATCAGCCCAGGGGTGCCCACAGCCTGCCCCAAAGGGAAAATGGCTGAGGGCCAAGCTAAGCACGAGGGCAGATTCCTGCACTCCTGGCCCTCCAAGCATCAGCCAGGAAGAGCAGGCACCTGTGGAAGGTGGCCCACTTAAAGCTTGGCTTCATCCTGTGGAGCTACCACCACACTAGGAGGCCTGCCACTGAGCACCAGCCTACTGCCCTAGCTGGGCAGTGCTATGTCACACTGCACACGGTGCCTGCGCTACCCACCTGTGCTTGCCACCCTACCGCTGGGGCCCCAGAGGTGCAGCCGACAGAGCCAGTGTGGTTGGGGCAGACTTGGAGCTCTTGCAGCTGGGCCCAGTCCTGCAGATCCAGTGTTCCTGAAGCCAGGACCTAAGCGCACCCACCCCACTGCCCAGAGTGCCCTGTTCGTGGTTCCTGGAGGTGATCACCAAGCAGGAGGGGTGCTGTGGTGGGCAGGCAGCCTGTGAGTCTCAGACCACACAGTGCCAGTGGCGTGGGCTCAACAAGGCAGAAGCCCAGCCACTTCCCACCTAGGCTACTTCACTTGGGAATGGGTGGGGCTTCCCACCAAAATTCTCTGCACAGGGGCTGGAAGCAAGCAAGCCTGAGGCTGCTTCCCACCAGGCTGGCTTTCCTTGGAGAATGGGTGGGAGTTCCTGCCAACTCTCTGGAGGGGGCCGGGGTGGGGGGCACTGGCCAGAGAGGCGCCACAAATGTTTGGCAGTGTAGGGAAAGATGGGACCCCTAGGTACAGTCAGAATAGATCCTACCTCTTCAATGTATTGGGGATGAGAAGTTGCTATTTACTTGACCCAGCTCCTGGCTCTTGGCAATGGCCTGTAGTAGTTTTTAAGACCTTCAGGCAATCTCAGTGTTGGTATATGAGGAAGAATGACTGATTAGCACAATTCTATCACCTTGGCTAAAGTAATACAATCATGTTAATAGCATCAAACACAGCCTAGAAAATGACAAACTGGTAACTATTAATTTGCCACCTTTAACTGTGTGAACTAGATTCGTGGTTATATAACAACATCTAAAACAAACTAGAAAATCGTATGCAGTAAATAAGCCCTCCATATGGTGATTTTACCCTCAGGGAAGAAAATTTAAAAGGGGTTGAGCGGAAAATAGAGAAACAGAAGAAGAGACCTTCCTACTGCTCATGGGCAGCCATCCTTTTACCCTCCTGTGGTTGTTGCTTATAGTGCACCCAGTATAGTCTCTCTACCATATACAGGAGCTGCTGGATTTACCTCAGTCATTGGATACCTTCATGAAACAGGTCTATCAGCCCCAGTTGTTCCTCTAGCTCTTGGGCCTCTCATGGCCACCTCCTCTGCTGTTCCTGGAAGGAGGGTTATTCCTGGGGCTAATGGCATACTAGGTCCTATTCTGTTTTGTGTGACGCCAATCTCAACGCTGATCTTATCATGCCACATAGGCTTTTTATGCTAATTGGAGTATATGGTGATATGTATCAAGTGAAAGTTATGTTTAATAAGAAAGAAAATGCTTTGGTTCAGATGGCACATGTAAGTCAAGCTCAGCTTGCAATGAAGCATCTAAGTGGTCAGAGACTTTATGGCAAAGTGCTTCATGATACACTGTCCAAATATCAAGCACTTAGCTTCCCCAAGGGGGGCAAGAAGATCAAGCTGAGTCTAAAGATTTCGGCAATACCTTTGCATTACTTTAAAAATCCTGGCTCTAAAAAGTTAGCCACTTTGTGCAATTCCCACGTTTGTCCTGTTGTTAAAGTGGATGATATAAATAACTTTTTCACAGAAGCTGGAAATTCAGAGAAGGCTTTAACATTTTTCCAGAAAGATCAAAAATGCTGCTTATCCAATTGTAATCTGTGAAAGAAGCAATCCAAGGCCTCACTAAGTTTTATAACTAAGACTTTGGAAAAGATCACCATCTCAGTTTCCCTCTCAAAATTGACGGTCTCATATTTATGCAAATTTTCCCCTTAAAACTGGGCTATAATTTCAGCAAAGTCTTCATTTGTGGCCTGGATCAGGTAAGACCAATTCTGCCTCTCCCACAAAAAATAAAAAAATAAAAAAATAAAAAAACAACTTTTTCTGGGTTGGCTATTTGAGTATAAGAAATCAATGTTCCTAACCCTGTTCTCTATCCCATTGGTATGTAATGTTAGTATTTATTTATACCATGATTTCTAAGAAAATAGTATTTTTCCAAAAATTTAATTCCCTATGTTAAATTATAATTCAAGAGAACGGACTCTCTTTAATCTGGGTTCAGGTCAGCCTTATATATGTCTAAACTCCTTAGTACTCTGAAAATTTAAATATACTAACTTTTTTCTTTTAAAAAATTTTTCAGCAGCACATCTCTGCAATACGGAATGAAGATTTATCACGAGAAGTTGGTACATATGCCTATCACATCTTAGTCCATTTTGCTTCCCCTTGTTCTTCCCACCTTCTCCTTTCCCTTCATGCCTACAACTCCTTTCCATCTGCAAAAGGTCTATCTCTCTGTTCCATATCTTCTATGTTTTACTTTGCTCTTTAAATAATTTATACTTTGAGTATTTCATAGGAGAGAAACCATGCAACATTTAACCTTCTATGTCTGATTTATTTCACTCAGCATTACGATGTCAAGATGCATCCATTTTCCTACAAATGACTCGATTTTATGCTTCTTTGTGTCTGAGTAGTAATTCATTGTGTATATATACCACATTTTCTTTATCCATTCATCTTTTGATAAATATATAGGCCATTTTCAAGACTTATCTATTTTGAGTTGTGCTGTTATAAGACATGATTATGTGTGTGTCACTATGAAGCAATGTCCTTAACTTTTGGGGGAAGATACCCAGAAGTATAGGTGGATCTAATGGAATTTCTTTTAGTTTTTTAAGGAATCTCCACACTGATTTCCATAGTACTTACCAGTATACTAGTTTACATCCCATCAACAATGTTGAAAGGTTTCTTTTCCCTCACATTCTGTCCACATTTGTTTGTTTTTGACTTTGCGATGACAGCCATTCTTTCTGGAGTAAGATGGTATCTTGGTGTTGTTTTGATTTGCATTTCTCTAATGGCCAAAGATGCTGAATATTTGCTCATGTACTTATTGAACTTCTACTGAGAAGTACTGCTAATTTCTTGAATGGGTCTTTTATGTTGAATTGTGTATTCTAGCGATCACTTCTCTGTCTGCACAGCAGCTGACAGATTTTTTTTCCCATTTTGTAGGTTGTCTCTTCACTTTGTTGTGTTGTGTCTTTTCCTATGCAGAAGACTTGTAATTTGACGTAATCCCTTCTTTTGATTTTTGGTATTATTGCTTATGCAATTTGGGTTTTGCTCAGAAAGCCCTTTTCTGTCTTCTGTCTTCAAGAGTTTTACCTTATAGCAGATTCAATATTTCTGTTTTAATACCTAGGTCTTCGATTCATATTTATTTATTTATTTATTGGCACTGGGGATTGAACTTGGGTCCTTGCACTTGCGCAGCAGGCGGCGAAACCACTGAGCTAAATCCCCCGCCCCTTTGATTCATTTTTATTTCAATGTAGGGTGAAAGATATGGGACTAGATTCATTCTTCTGCACATGGGTAACCAATTTCCCCAGCACTATTTAGAGGCTCTCTTTTTTGCAACATGTGTCTTTGACCCCTAGGTCAAAGATCAGATGGCTGAAGGTGCATGGGGTTGCTTTCTGAATCCTCTATTCTGTTCCATTTATCTGCACACCTGTTTTTGTGCCAATACCATGCTTAAACACACAGACTTTTACAATTACTTGATACAAGTAATTTAAATAATTTCAGATCAAGTCTTTAACTTTATGACTCAAAATTTTAATCTCTACAGGAAATTACTTTGTTTTAAATTACTTCAAATATTAACCAAATGTTGTTTATTATAAATACATTATGTCATACTAGAAACAGATTTACAAGCTTACATCTTTATTCCAGTGACATTTTTTTCACTGTGTAACACTTCTCTAA